TATTTCTTGCCTAGAAAGCGCCTGGCAGTTTGGTAGGCTATTTTTTTTTTTTTTTTTTTTAAATTAAGGTGATAAAGTTTTTGAGCCTCAGTTCCCTTTTTATAATTTGGAAATAGTTGGAATTAGTAATACTTCACTAGCTTATTAGATAGTAGGTTAAGTCAGACAATATATGTAAAAACCCGTAATAGGCACAGGGTATCCACATGAGAGATAGTGGTGGCTACTGTTAGGGCAGCCCCAACTCATGCAGTTACCTATCTCCTTTCTCCTCCCCTCATTTTGTTTTCTTCCCCTCTTTCATGGCAGATGGTCTTGATTTCTGCTTCAGAGAAGATTTTTTAAAAACATCCAGCTCCAGTACTTTGTGCCACTTTCTCAAAGTATTTCTGTCTACCATCCCTTTTGCAAACGTCCTCCTACCCGAAGGAACAGGAGTTCCTTACCTCTTCCTAAGACAAACCTAGGGCCTGCTGGCTTCATCTGCCTGTCAAATATTTCTCCCCTCCCTCTGCACTAGGTACTTCCTTTCTGCTTTCAGGCCGGATGGGTCTGAACTGCCTGGGGGTGTGAGGGTAACCTTCATTTAACCCTCCTCAAGCTGTTTCCCTTTTCCTCAATCTTTTCACTGCCATACTGCCCAGATAAATCTTCAATGTTTATTCCTCCCTTTTCTCTAAGTGTCTCCTTGATAAGCTCAGCCACCCATTTCTCGGTCTTTCTTTTTTCTCAAAATGTTGTTACAATAATTAAATGAGATAATCCATGTAAGGCACTCAACATAATGCCCAACACAAGGTAAGAGTATTATTATCCACTGGTCAAAAATAATCAACGACTCCTCAATACTTACAGCTTCAAATCCCAACTCTCAGCTGTGTGGTCTGCTCAGAGCAGCAGCCCATCACAATCCTCCATCCACACACCAGCATTTTCACACTCTCAATGTGAATTGAGCATAACTCAGTCATGCTTTTCTTCTGGAACCCTTTTTTTTATTCTCAGCTTTTCAAATCCTCCCTTTCTTCATGTAACTGGACAAGTCTTACTTTATTGAAACCTAGAACCTATGCCTGCACTGTTCGATACAATAGCCACCAGTCACAGGTAGCTATTTAAATTAAAATTTAAGTAAAATAAATTAAAATTTTAATTCCTCAGTTGTACTAACCACATTTCAAATAATAACCATATGTGGCTGGTGGCTCCTCTGTTAATCAGCACAGAATGAACATTTCCATCACACACACACAAAAAAACCCCCACTCCAGTATCGAATGGACTCCTGCCCCCACATTCTCTTCAATCTGCAGACTATTTTGCAATCATTCTGAACTTTGCTCTGGTCCTCCCCTTCTCTCCACGTTTGATCTCTGTAACATTTAAGTAAACATTCATCAAAAAAAAGGAAGAAAACCTTTTGTCTTCTGACTAAAATACTTATTCATTGTAGGAAAATTTAAAGTACAAATAAGTAAACAGAAATAAAAATCTCATCAAAAAACCAAGATCCAGAAAAAAGGAAGAAAACCTTTTGTCTTCTGACTAAAATACTTATTCATTGTAGGAAAATTTAAAATACAAATAAGTAAACAGAAATAAAAATCTCATCAAAAAACCAAGATCCAGAAAAAAAAAAAAATCAGTTTTAACATTTGGGGAGAATTTCCAGAGCTTTTCCTGTACATACACATACACCCATATGTGTATTTTTACAAAAGATGGGTCTCATATTTACTATCTTATACACTGTTTATGTTGTCCACTTAACATTTCTCTAACCATAAAAAAAAGTTTTTAGAACTGCTTTTGACATTTTTGTGGAATTGCTTAATAGCTGTTAGACA